TCTATATATACATATTTAACTATATTTTTTTATATATATATATATATATATATATATATATCGTACTCTCCTGACCCTTCCTCACTTGGGCATCACTCATTCTGAGAACATAAGTAGCGTCACCGCTCAGAGAAGAGCAGTTTGGCCGTAGGTCAAGTACGCGCAACGCAAGGGTAAACGCAGGCGGCACGTCGGACTTGGCAGCCCCGCTTGCCAAAATCACCTCAGCGCGAGAGCATTAGCAGCAGCGCTGGTCTAATGTGTCTGTGGCTGGGGAGGTCACTCATTCTGAGAACATAAGTAGCGTCACCGCTCAGAGAAGAGCAGTTTGGCCGTAGGTCAAGTACGCGCAACGCAAGGGTAAACGCAGGCGGCACGTCGGACTTGGCAGCCCCGCTTGCCAAAATCACCTCAGCGCGAGAGCATTAGCAGCAGCGCTGGTCTAATGTGTCTGTGGCTGGGGAGGAAATAACGGGGTGTGAAGGTCTAAAGGAAAAGCTTGTGTTTGTACAGCTAGGAAGGAAACCTTAAGACAGGAATATTGAAAGTCAAGGATCAAAAAGTATATAATTCCCAAATCCATTTTTAAAACCGTCTCTTGATTTTTTAAACCTTGAGAAATTGAGGGTTTCCTAAAAGATTGAGCAATGCATATTCAATAAATAAAAAAGAACCAACTGTGCAGAAAATACAACTGTGTTCTTGGCTTTATCCTCACGGGTTATTTATTGTTCTTCCATCATTAAGTAACTTCATCAGAAAACTCCAATACTTGAATCCAGCCATTCTTCTTGTCATCACCATGCAATAACTATAAATGCTGACCTGGTGAAAATCATTCTTTTCCCCAAAATACTTTAGCTTTGATTTATGAGAGTGCTAAGAGTGCTCCCAATGCAGGACAATTTGCAGTTTTAACATAGTGTTTTCATTTTGCTCTCATATTATGGCAAACAGTTGAATTTTTAGTGTATCGTCTTCTTGTCTTCTGAATATAAGTCTGTCTGCCTGCTTAATGCAGCACATAGGGATTCCAGAGATATCTATAAAAAGAAAAGGAATAGTGTTGCAGAAGGATCACAGGTACAGTGAGAAATCCTATCTGGAGTAGCATGAGAATGGGTGGGAATTAAGAGAGAACCATAATTCCACCTCTCCAGCATCCCCTTCATTTTAACGCAGAAACTTGAAACAAAATGCTTCCTCCCGGAATCAGCTGCAGAGACACCCGTATGTGAGCAATGCTTGTTAATAAGAAATGCAATTTTAAAATGCCAGCTTTAAGGGATACACCTCCAGTTCGATTGGAGGCTGCGCTTTTCCAGAAGATTGCCAGGAAATGCAACTGAGCAAATTTTCAACAGCTTCTACAAAATATGCTTTAAGGCAGCAAAATAGCCTCCGTTTCCTCTTGCCTTACCACAGGATGCATGGAGCAAAAAGGGCTGCCACACAACGCAAACCATAAGCAAAACACTGGTTTAGGAGGTGAGCACAGGTGAGCACTACTGGCAGTAGTGAGCATTGTACCTCCTTACCTAAAATCAGACAATGGCCCTAATTGCTAAAATTCTGCCTAACTGCCAATAGCTGCTAATATTCCACAGCTTTCTGCAGCTCTCTGACTCCACAGAAAAGTTTTAAAATGTAAAATTCCTCCAATATTTATGAAATTACCTACACTGATGGCAGAGTCCTAAATCACTGGAAGGAAGTTTAACATTTGTTTTTTAAAAAAACTTATGAGCAGAGAGAACATAGGGCTGTGGACTGAAGGCAAATTCCTTCAGTTTCCCGTTGACAACCCCTTTGCAATAATTATTTAATGCCGATTTCTCTTATGGCTGTTTCAGTTCAGACTTCTTGTCTGCCATATCCGTATGCCTCCACTCACTGTCCAGCTTTCTGTTTATTTTCTGGCTAGTCAAAATGCCTGCCTAGATTTCTATGCAAAATTAAACTTTTAGCAGAAAAAAAAAACACCACCAGGAATACATTTGATTCTCCAGGGACTGATAATGGAAGCAAAATGTTCTTACAGAATGAGTAAATCAATAATAATGTGCCCTTCTACTCTACTTAACGGCACCACTGGCTTTGGTGTGAGCCTTTTGCCAACAACTACAGGGTAGAGTAAAAGAAGACTTTCCTTTTCTCTCACCTCCTTCCTCCATTCCTGGCTAGCACTTCGAAAACTGTAATATCATTGCTGCATATGCATGAAAACAAGAGTTTTCGTGTAGAAACTTCCAGAAGATCTAGGGCAAAAAGGCCAGTTGCTGCCACCATAACATTGGAAAAGTGGCTACAGAAAATGAAGCCCAGTACCTTGCAGAAAGTCCAAGTCTCAATTCAAGACCCAGGGAGACACAAACCTTGGGTCCAGGTCCATCCAACATTGAGAAACGTTGGACAAAATGGTTAAGGCTTCTGGGATGACTTGCTTAGTTGCCAGCCTGCTCTCCCTTCTGCTCCCTAAAATCGCAGTGGAAAATGCTGGAAATGCTGAGCTGTGCTCCGAGTGACAGACCCCTTTGGCGCCCCTTCGTGTGCTTTAAATCTCGCCTAAAACGCAATGAAAGAATCTCTTTCTGCTATCTTTTAGATATTAGCAACCGAGAAGTAAATTGGACACATTGCTCTGTTATCTACTGCAGAGAAATGTCTGTGTGAAAGCCACGGTGGCTGACACAGAGCTGTGTGGATTGTTAGTACCAGTTCTCGGGTTGGAAGGTAACGACTAAAAATATACCCACGCACATAAACCCCTTCTCTCCTGCAGTGACAAGAAGACTCTTCAGTAAAAGATGCTCTCCAGCCCTTTGCTATCCTTAGGTGTCACCTTTTTTAACCCAAGTCATCTTTGTTGCATCTACAAATGAGAATATGTCCACCTCCAACAGCTGTATTTCATTCAGAGAGAGGAGCAACAGCATGTGCTAGGTTCAGCTTTTCTCTAAGATATCTGATTATTCTGAGCATGCAAAAACATGCCTCCTTTATAAAGTAAAGGTTAGGGATTTTATTGAACAGATTCTAGCATAAAATTTGAAAATGTATTGTTAATTTTTTTTCGAAGGGAGATTCCAGTTTATAGGATTAAGTGTTGACGCCTCATACACAATTCACATGTTATTGAGCAAAGATACTTGGAATATTATTTTATCTGCATTTCCCCTTTATCTATACTGTTATCCCAATCAGATGCTCACTTTGCTTAAAAACTACCCTGAGTTTCTATTACTTCTAGTTCTAAACTTCTGTTTTTTGTTACGTTTTAAAGGTCACCTTGATGTTGCTCAGGACTCAGGTTTCTTATTTTCTTCTGATATAATCAATTCTACTGGCATTTTTGCATTTCTAATTTTAAGGACAAATACCTTTCATTAAGAAACGTAGCAGAAACGTAGGAACTAATATTTAATTTTCAGAATTCTATAAAATACCATGGTTGGGGTAGTAGTTAGAGTTTTAAGAAGTTAGATAAGCCTTTTTATTACATGTATTTAATGGGTTTACATAGTGCAATGTAAAGTACAGTTTACAAATGCCAAACTATTTTTACAGTGACTGGTAATAGCATTGGAGTTATCGAGCAGATGTCACAGTTTTACGGCTCTGAGGGACTTCCTTCCATGCGTGCCTGGATAAAGGTGTCTCCAGGGGGTTGGACTAGAGGATCTTTAGAGGTCCCTTCCAACCTCAGCCATTCTGTGATTCCAAGGGGAGCAGAAATGCAAGGGAGAGCACAGAGGCTGCTAAGCAGCAGTACAACAAAAAGGTCCAGGTAGCAGTTTCGAAATCAAGTTAAGACTCGTAACTAATGCTTTGCACTTCCCTGTCGTACAGTGCTTTGGGCTCTGCCACCAGGCTCCGTTTTAAGGCAGTTTGGCCTCAGTGCAGAGCAGAACAGCTCCAGCTGTATAGAGATGTCGGCGCTGATAGGAAGTGGGATAACCTCCTTAGCCAAGGGTAAGTATATGGGTGTACATGGATAGATACAGGTGACATCCTTTTGACACGGGCTTTCCCACATGGTGCCTGCATCCATCCTTGTGGATGCAGAAAGCACGGGCCAGCCAGACAGCGTGGAGAGGAACGAAGGAGAGTTTTGAAGCTCCAGGGACCTTTGCAGGGCAGTGAGGCTTCAGGTAGTGAGTGCTCTACTGAGCTGATGTTTGCTTAGCATCCAAACACCTCTCTCACTGGATGTCTGTTGGGAGGAGGTTGCTTGCACAGAATTCTTCTTTCTTCATGAAAAGAGTGCTGAGACTGGCACAGCAAAAGGCTGAAAGAAGCAAATTTTACCACTAACATCTTGCTCCTCCTTCAGACTTTATGAGACGAAGGAAAGTAATAACGGATATACATCAATGGGAGCCTTTAAAAACTAAGGCCTCTTTACTCAGTCTTTGTGCTAATGTGCTCAGTGTTACCCTTCTAATACAAACAGCAGGAAGATTGCTCTCAGAAACCCAGACAATAA